TCGGCAGTGGGGGCCCAACTGTGCTCCTCCAGTAGTGGTACAGGAGTTGGCAGTGCGTCGGTAGCGTGTACCTTAGCCCGTTTATTCTCTCCCTCCTGTGTTTGTGGCGCAGGAAAAGTAGTGGGTGTCACCAGCAGTTTGTCCAGGTCAATACAGTGAGTTTGTCTACGACCATTGCGAGTCGGTGCAGGTTGGTAATCTTTGACGAACACGCCGTAATGTACCCCGTGCAGCATGATTTGGTCTACCGGGTGTCCTTTCACCAGCAGCGCCGCTGGCTGAGAGGGTGTGTTAAAATACACCCGCCAAATATTGGGATGTGTATTGGACTTTTGTGTCGAAGACGAGTACGCGAGTTTGTAACTGATGAAGACTGGATTAGTCTTCAAGCGACGCAGGGCGTTGAGGACGGCTCGCGCATCAAAGTTGAAGCGCGTGCCTACAATGTCCATGTAGTACAGGTCGTGTAGGTCGTCATGTTGCCGTTGGGACGGGTTCCGATTGCCCGTCGTCGAGGAAGCCACCACAGAGAACTCCTTGCCGAGGAGCCGGATGGACTGCCCGCTCATGCCAAAGCGAGTCGCCTCGTCGGTGACGGTGACCACAACATCTCCACCACGTGCCTTGTTTACTTGCACGAAGTCTTGCATGAGGTGGGCCCAGGGAGCGTCTTTGTTGTCCTCGAAAAGGCTCTTGATGATCTTGTCGTTCGTTTGCGACATCAAGGCGTCGCTCGTGTCAATCCAAAACGTTGTCGTGCCGATGCGTTTGGGGTACGGGAGCGCGTCCTCAATCGCTTGAAACATGGCGTCATCCGACGTCGCTTCGTCCGAAGCCAGCTCCATCAGCTTGGCCAAGTTGGCGCGTGTGGGCCTGCAGAGCGTTACCTTGACTGATCCTCTTGATGCTTGTCCTCCACGTCGCATGACTGATGCGTACGTAGGAGGCGTTGGCGTGGGCACTGTACTTGGTAGCGGGTCGCTGAGGTCGACCACTCGACGTGTCGACGCAGGTTGGGCCGCATGCAAGCTGGGTAGCGTACTTTCAGTAGCATCTGAATGCTGATCTCTGATTGGCTGTTGACAGGGTGTCGACTCAACGCTTGCCCCTTGGGAGCTGAGTGGTTGGTGCCGAGGCTCGACAGCGCGAGGATCCACCGCACTGACCAGCGGCGGCGCCGAGCCAAGCAGGACAGCCTCAGCTGGGTCGCCTCCCCCGGCGTCAAGAGCGACGGGGTCGTGCGCGGGTCCGAACTCCCACCAGTGGTCTCGCGCCGCACAGCCCTGGCCGTGCCGGCAGCCTCAAGCGGCTGGAGCTCTCCAGGCAAGTGCACCGAGTCATGCAGCGTTGGATTCATCGTGTCCGTAGGTGACCCAGACGGAGAGAGGGCCGTCACGGGTTGCAGCGCCGGTGGCGTGGTGGAGGCAACGAGAGAGGAAGACATGTTTACTTGGGGCCAGTATAGAGGAATGTTGGTACTTTTCGATCAATTCGTTCGTAAACGCAAATAGGAAAGTGGGGGGGGGTTAGCTCAGTGGTAGAGCGTTGGATTCCAGACCCAACGGTCAAGGGTTCAACTCCCTTACTCCTCATTCTTTTTTCGTTCATGTTATATACTTCGAAGTAAAACCCTACCAAATGAATGACATCAAATAGTGCAAGTTACATGGGTAGTAGTAGTGCTACGTAGTACAATAGTAGTACTAGATACTTTTAACTGTAAACACCAACACAACGCGTACAGTTGCAGCGCCATTTGGGGTGCAAGACACTGCCAACCAACAACACATGCCAAAATGATTGACAGCAAACCTCGCCGAGTGTAAAATCACTTGGTTTCGATAACGTTATTAAGCGTAAATCTCGACATTTTCCTGCACGACACACTCCTACCACACGACTCGGCTCAATACGTCGTGGGGTTGGGCGGGAGATTGCTCCAAGAGGCGGTTGCGCATCGTCCGACGCTCGGCGGCATCTTCATGGGCGGCCCAGACGGCTTGGATGACGTCGGCGCGCGCGGTGATGTCCAGAGGAAACTCGGGCGCGAGAAATGCGGCCAAGAACTGGGTCGCCGATGCCGCCACTGCCACGGAGTCCGATATCAATGCCGCCAACGCATGCAAGACCAAGGCTTGGACGACGACAGTGTGTTGCCGCTTGACGGCCAAGTGCACGGGGGTGGCATTCGCTACCTTGGCCGACTAGGACGATTGATTGATCATCGTCATGGTTCAAAGAAGATATGGACAGACCTCGACGTGATATGACACGAGGGGATGTGAGAGAAGGAGGCGGACAACGTCCACATGTCCTTGCTGGCATGCCAGGTGCAGTGGCGTGCGTCGCCACTACCGTTAGTGGACAGGAAGGTATGGTAAAGAATTCGCTATACACTTTTAAAAATTCGCGTGGGTTGTCAAATCAATATGGAATATCACACTAGAGTGTTGTGATTGGTTGAATATAATTGATTTTTCTGTAAGAGCCAATCAAATCCACTCAAAATTGGATTCGGCGAGGTCTGGAAATAGTAGTTTGGACCGAATCCACAATATATGAAAAAAAAAGAAATCAACAAACACAATCGAAAATGCACAAAAAAAGATGAAAATAAGAATGAAAAAGAGAGTCACATATTCGACGGGGTATATAAAAAGAGTGCATGGAGGCATGGACATGTCAAGGCGTACCGAAATCCCCGTGACGTCGAGTTCCGGCCGCGACATCAGCAACTGGACGATGTCGGCGAAGCCATTCTCACATGCGGAATGCAGCGGCGTCCATTGATTCTACGAGCATCACGGTAACAGATGCAGTCGATTCTGGGGACGTACGCCGTTGGAGCAGTTGACGTTTGTCTCGGGGCGGGCGAGCAACAGCCGAACGATGTCAACATGTCGGGCCTGGCATGCAAATAACAATGGAGTTTCGTCGTACTAGATGGAGCACGACGTTAGAGCAGAATGACAGGCGACACACGGACCGGGGTGCGCACGTTGACGTCGACGGTCGGTTGAGCGAGGAGCAGTTGGGCAACGTTCAAACGGCCGGATTCGCACACGATGTGCAGCGGGGACTTGCCGGAGTACTGTTTGTCCAGCATCGTTATGATTGGATGCGCATCGAACGAGAAGACGAACCTTGCTGTCGGGTTCGGACGCGGCGTTGACGTCGCAGTCCAGCAACAGCTTGCGCAACTCAGCCATGTTGCCATCCGTCACGACCTTGCACATGGCCTTGGGTGGAGTCTACGCAGCAGATCCATGAGACGACATGATGCATACGAGTCTTGCCATTCTCTGCAGCCAAATGGAACTCATCGATGCGGCGGCACTTTTCTTCCTCTTCTTTCTCTTCTTTCTAACTATATTGGTGAGTTGGTGAAATATATCGGAAATATTTTGAAATAAAGCTGAAATTAAACGCAAAATGGTGTAACGTGATCGACTAGTGATGGGCCGATTTTTTTATTTTTTCTTTCGTGAATTCCTCGTCAAGTATTTATCGTAAGGCGATGCGGTGGACAATGTTCAGCAGGTGGGTCAAATACCCACATGTAGGGATCGGTGCCTACACAGCACAGCACATATGAAATCCTGTCAAGAGGGACGAGGAAAGAACCAAACGTAGATGAGCGGTACAGTATGTAGGACGTACTAGTAGATGAGCGAGGATAACGTAGGCGAGTGGTGGAATACTGTACTGTAGTGCCGAACGTAAACCAGCCAACAAGTACATCCTATCCCTGTGTTTATCGACCTCGTCAAAG